TTCTCGATTTGCAATTTAAATTGAGCAAATTATACATTCAAAACACCGAATACGATTGCACCGAATAAATCATTACTAAATAAAACAGTCCTATTTTTCCTAATTCTTGAATTCCTTCCTTGAAATACGCTCAAAACTCTGAATTGCTCTCAAGCATGTCCTTTAGAATCGTTTCCCTATACATAGTTCTATTCAGAATTCATAATAACATACATTTGAGATTATCTCTGGGATGTCTGGAAAAATTCTTCATAGAACACTGCACAGTCTCTGAGGAAAACTAAAAAAAAACATTAAATTCATGCTTTGATCCCCTTCGAATTTGAAGTATATTCAAAGAATTCTCCTGTAGGTATTCTTTTTAGAAGTCCCATGCAATTTACCTCAGAACAATCTTGGAGTTCTCCTCTAAATTCATCTGAATTTTCAGTTGGAATTCCAAATGCCCTTGGAATTATCGTCATAACTCCCTCATAATTCCTGGAATACTTTTGACAATAGTCATGCAATGTTCAACAGAGCTTCTTAAACATTTTACTTTGAACTTGTGACTTTCCCAAAACTCTCATGAAAATTTTCACTGAAATACTTTGGTGCCGTCCTCGGTTCCGTCCCAAGAATTCATTTTAAAATCTCCTCAAAATTGCTGAAATTATTTTAATATTTCTTTTAAGTGACTTTATCCTGAAAATATAGTCCAGTCCAAGGGTCTTCTCAAGGCCCAACAATTGTTTTAATTCGAAGAGAGGACGAAGTATACTTTTTCCCGATTTGACACCGTTTTTCCCACTGTCTTTTTTTTTTTTCTATCTAAAACGCATCTCACTTAAGGATTTAGTAGTATTTTAATTTACGATTTTTTTTTTTTTGAAACGTCTAGCCCCTTATGCCCTTATCGCTCCCGACCAACCATTTCGTTAAATTTCTTTAATTTTCGATATATCGATCTTCAAAGACATTCATATGAAAAATCGATAGCGATCGTCACCATTTAATGAATAAATGTAAAGATACTAAAAGCCTGATCGTGAACCATTTATAAACATCTTTATCAAAATGTTGCTACTAATCGTTACCTATGTAAAAATATCGATTCGTGTTGCCAGATCAAAAATATCGATTTCTCTTGTCAGATCAAAATAACAATACACGGTACTGATATTTTTGGGATTTTTTTTTTAATCTTCATAATTGCTAGGTTTCGATCCCGTGCCATCTAGGGTGTACTTAGTTCTTTGTTGGTAGCTGATCCTCGGGTCTACAGCTGCTGTTGATGAGCTTCTTAACGACTGGCAATCACACTCTAGTATATGGTGTTTTGAAATTTATGTACATCTTTTCAAGCATGAATTCAAAATTTATTTGTCATATCCATAACCAAAGTATCAAGTTCCCTCATTCGGTTCAAAATGCCGAGAATTCGCTTGCTATCGCTGATTCTTCAGAAATGGCCGAGAGCGTATCGACGTAAACTTAAAGAACTATAATGGCAAACATTTGTATCATCGTGGCCATCGATCAGTCTTCCCATTAATTTTCCGGCAGATCATGCTTCTCTCGATGAAGACCTAAATTTGTCGATAACTAACATAAACATTGCCATCTGTCATCTAGTGTGTATCAAACTCTCTTTACCCAGCGAAGCAAATCGATAACAAGAAGATTATAAATGTACATCGATGGCAATCTTTATTGTTCTTTGCCAAAGTTCAACGTTACGATGATATCAGTATTCAAATATTTTTAGATGGATATTTATAAAGAAAACTATAGCCCTTGTGACACATCGAAATTAGAAGAAATTTAGTATGGCATCTTTATAGATTACTATCATGCGACCGATAAAGAAATTATCTTAAATGTAAGTATCGATCAATAAAGGTTTTTAAATATATTCATCGAAATCAAAGAAACTTACAGTTTTGTCATCAATCGTCTGTTCTTACACAGCCAATGAGATCAACCCAAATTTGAGTTCAGTTTACTCATAATCGCCAAAAAGTGAAGGAACTCAGCTATGAGTTAATTTGCATAAATGTTGTCCTGTGGAAAACCTAAAAAATCTGATGAAAATTTTTCTCAGTCTAGGAGTAGTACCAATAGACTGAGTGAATGCAATCTTTACTTTTCTCATATTCGGGATTTTTTCCTGGACAAACCTGGAAAAACATGCGGCAAATTTACTCATCGCTGAGTTTCTGCACTTTTTGTGATTTAAGAGTTAACTAAACTCAAATTTGTGTCGTTCTCATAGGCCGTGTACACTTTAAAACAAGGTTGAAATTGCTCCTTTTTTAAAGAGGCTGAATTTATAAAGAGACGATATGGCAAAATTGGAACAATCGACTATCTGTCAAAGTCATCGGAAAAAAAAGTTATTTCAATCGAGCAGAAGACCTTTCAAATGTCACCTCTTTACCCAATAGAGATCTCCAAGCGCAATCTCACGAACACTGAAATCCAACATCCATATATAAAAATGAAGAAGAAGAAGAACCAAAAAGGAATCACGATATCACAACTACTTAAAAAGGTAGCGCGCGGTCTCACGCACACTTTTGTGCATCTGGAGAACTCTATTCAGTCTCTGTATCCCAGCGTTGCCAGATATACCGATTTATCGGTATTTATACCGATTTTCAAACTTGATACCGATGTACAGATAAGGTTTCTCAGAATACCGATTTTTGAGCTTCAGTACCGATTTATACCGATCTTTTTTACTAATCAAAATGATCACTGCTCACCCGCGCTAAAACTATTATGAGAGGTTTTATCTTTTTAAACACTCAAATTTTTCAGCCAGCACTAAAAAAAAATTAAAAATGTCTTATGCTTGATACACTTTCGAATAATGCTTCCATTTCCTCGCCTTTTTTGGCTACCAACGGGTCGAGAAACAGCTGATGCCGCATCCCGGTAATTCCTGGAAATCGGGAAATACTTTTATTCACTGAACAAATAAATCAATCAAAATGTTATTTTTCAACTTCCTGGAATTTCTCTTATCTTCTCTTCGAAGATTCTTCCAACATTCCCTGGGAATTTTCAATCACCTTACGCTGTAAGTTATTTTACAATTACTTCCGGAAATCTATTTCGACTTCCCTTGGAAGCTTCTTCTGGCTTCCCTTGAAAGGTTCTTTCGTCTTCTCCCTTACTTTACCTAAGGCATTGTTGTCCTCTGCTGTCCGAAGAAGTCGTCTCCACTCTACTCGACCCATAGCCACACATCGTCAGCCTCGTAGTCTACGAAGGGTCTTCGTCTTCTCGCGTCAGTTTTTTCAACTTCCTGGAACTTCTGGAATGCTTTCAGAGATTTATTGCGGTTCCATTAGCTTCAGGAAAACTGCAGGAACTTTCCAGAATTGCTGAAACTTCAGAATAGTTCGCACTTTGGGGTAAGTTTGAAGATATGTAAGGGTAAGTTCCTGTCTGGACACTTCCACTTGCAGGAACCCGACGAGCTGTCAGAATATTCCCTCGACAACGCGTTGCAACGGCCAACTCCTTCACCTGAAGGAGTGCCTGGAATGAGCCTCGGTTGGCTCAGCAGGAACTGGTGCAGGGATTCCTCGGAAACGTAGCGTAATAAATAGCTCGACTATGATTAACTAGATATAGCTTTGAGGCTAATTTGTTTTGGCTGAGATATTTTGGAAACATCACAAGTCCAAAGAACTTCATGGAAATTTAATGGTTTTCAGGACACTTCCATTTCTTTCAGGAGAATTAAGATAACTTTAGGAAAGCTCTGAGAACATCAGGACACATTAATTCATGAAAATGTCTGAACCTTTAAATGAGCTCCGAGAAATTCGGGGAATTTCCAAAATCTTCAGCAAAGTTTCGAGCTGTTCATGAAAACTTTTTAAACTTCAAAACAGCCCCATTAACTTCAGGAAAATTGCAAGAACCAAAGAGTTCTAAGGAATTAAGGGATTTTCCGAAGTGCATTTCAGGAATGTTTTGAAAATTTCTGACAAATTGTGGGGTTTCAGGGATGATTTATTAATATCAGGAATATTGCTGGATCATTTGAGCATGTAAGGAACTTCGGGAATGTTGCTAACATCGCCCAGAAATCAATTTCTTCCAGATTTTTCCCCCAACATCTCCTTGAAGTATCTTGCGACTGTTCCGTAAGCACTCTGACTTCCGGCTTTTTCCAGAAGTTTCTTCCAATCTACCTTAGGAAGTTTCTCCCAGAAGTTTATTTCATCCTCTGGAAGTTTCTCCATAAGTCATTCTCCGTAGGTTTTTTCCGACTTCTATTAGAAGGTTATTCCGAGCTTCTTATGAATTGCCTTCGAATTTTCAAAACTTTTTTGGTTTCCTCTGGGTATGTTATCTGAATTTTTCCAAAATGTTCTAAAGTTTTCGCTAGAAGTTTCTAAATATTTGTCTTGAAAGATCCTCATCGGATGTTTTTCCGACGTTTTTATTAGAATGTTCTGCAAACTTCCTCAACAAGATCTTCTTTATTCTTTCGCTGGAAGTTTTTTCGGTATCATTAGGAGACTAATTCAAATATTCCCGGAAATTTCTTCCAACTTTACTTCTTCGTTCTTAGTCCAAAAGTTTGAGTTTTTGCCTACAAATAGGCAAAAATATAAAATTAATTAAAATAGTGAATACCGATAAATACCGATTTTTTAAACATTTGATACCGATAAGTTTGAAAACAATCTGGCAACGCTGCTGTATCCTTTTGCATAACACAATGTCACTCATCGTGAGCGCTCAGCGATCCCCTAAAATCGCTGATTGTGACTCTCCGAAACCAAAATCGACCGGTTCTTGCAACTAACAAACACAAAATATCACCATAATATCCTAATAATTTCATAATTGCGATGGATATTTCTTTATGCGAAATGAGCATTCAAATGCAATCGTGGAATGCAGCCGTTGTGACGTCGGAGATAATATCGAATACAAAAAGGATCTAGTCGGTACAATAACAACCCACCAAGTATTGAACATAAACACGTACTTACCACTTCCCAGATTCTGCTCGGCGGTGGCTGCTGATGTGGTTCTGTTGGCTGATCATCTTCCGCGGTCACATCCTCACTCACAACCCCTTTCATGAAATCCCGCAGGTGCTTGAACTGTCGTGGTTCCAGATATTCGCCCCTAAACCGGGCATGCATCGGCGCAAACTGCGCATAGTTGAATTCACTCACATTGCCCCAGGTTTCCCGGATTGTTTGCCGGGCTTCGAAATTCTTAGCCGACGAACAGACCACGATCAGTAGGAAAACTTTCTCATTTTCGCTCCCGTCTCCGGTCCGCTCCTCCGTCGTGCAGATGTTCAACGGATCGATGATGGTGGTATTCTCCGCCGGGAGCACGTAGTTGACCGTTAATCTCGACGTATTTGCACTCCAACCCGCGATCGTCCCTGTGGAAAGAGGAACAACAGTATCTACTTTGAGAAAATGGTCACTTTTTTCGCCAATTTAGAAACGATTCAAGTTCTATTCAAATAAAGACACCACTCCCGGATCTCTTCTCGCGATCGACTGCAGCCTTTCGATTGTCCGAAAAAAAAAGTCACCCAAATTCGATCGTTGCCCGACTCACACTAAATTAGCACACCAATCAAAACTTCCCCAGAGTTCGACGGATCGGATCGGAATGGCAAAAGAACACACAAATGATGCAATGCAAATTTTGAGGCGATCTTCGTTCTGTCTCCTTGCTTGCCTGCGAATGGGGTGGATGGAAACAATCACCGCCGCCGACTCAGCTCGACCCGCTGCTGCTGCTGCTGCTGGTGATGGGAGGGGGCCACCACAGTTCAATTGAACTGGCGGCCGTCATTGATGCGCCAGCCGCTGATGCCACTGCGATGGCGACGACGATCATTGCCGTTTTTCGCCGCAAATGCAGCGTAGCAGCATCCTTGCGCTTTCCAATGATCAATGTTGTGTCCATTGCAGGGGCAGAACAAAAGGTGGATCGCACTTTCTATCGATTGGTTGCAGAGCGACAGGGATGAATTCAGGGGTGAGGTAATATAGCCGTTGGATAAAGATAGAGGATCTTTTTTCCACTAGGATCACCTGCGGAGCAGTAACATCAATTTGCGTTGAATTAACATACGGTAACGTTTTGAGTTTTGTGCAACTCTGGAGGACACCAGTAGTATAAAATATCATATCTCATATTAGATCGCCTCGTTCTGATGACGGCTGCACCGATGGTCTATTATCATACAAATTGGCAACAATGTCCCGAACCGGCACCAACAAACAGATACACAAATCTCCCGAGGAGCGCGGTGGGTGGTACCGTCAACTCACCGCTATTTCTCGGTATTTAGTCATCTACAAAAAATCATTTACTCGATTAGCTGAAGGATAGCCATGGAAAAGCGGTGGGTGGACGGTGGTACCACCCACTGCGCTCTTCCTGGTTCCTGTACTCCTAACATGAGTTCAACAGCAAACATCATCATCGTCATCATTATCATCGGAGCGATCGACGTCGTGTCGCCGTTGGCAGAGACACCAGTTGGCAAAACACCGAGGCGAAAAAGGGTGTCAAATGGCAAAAATCAGAGTGTGCGAATGCGATCAATAAAATTAAAGGAAAGTTCGCTCGAATTGATATCAATCAGGAACAAAAATTAACCTTTAGCACGAGGTCTTCCCGCCGCTCGCAGACGTACATGCAGTCATTGTTTGCGTGTGACGAGTGCATATTGAATTTTGTTTTAAACACGCTCAAGTTACGATGGCGACAAAATGATCAAAAGATAGGCGCTCGCGTTCGGGAGGACAATTGAAGTGCATTCGAAATGTGGTGGCTCTATTTACATGACAAGGCTAATGATGATTTATTCCAGTCGCGGGTGAGAACGACCAGCTAATACGTTCCCTCGAAATACCACCAGGGTGCAATCAAAGTTGCTGCGCAGCTTCGAGTACTACTTGCACAACAGCAAACAAGAATGGTTCCATAGGGTTAATGTCCCTAATGTCGGCCTAAGTGTCCTTAGGCTGTGTTCCATTTGGTGAATTTTCACTTAAATTTGACAGATGGAAAAGATTTAAATAAACCTGCTATCCCAGCAGACTTAATTCTGACAGACAAGGAATCCACTTTGAAAGACGCTTTCTCGAAAATCGGCCGATCAACAACAAAGGGATTTTCGAACATCTTAATTTATTTTCGAAGTGTCAAATTTAAGTGAAAATATTTCCAAATGGAACACAGCCTTAATATCAAGTTACCTTTATGTTAATATTGAGCCCATACATAACATTCGAAGGAAAGCATTTTTTGACAATTTTTCAGTAGCAACCAAAAATATCCAATACCCAAGTATTATAACAAATAAATTAATAATAATTTATTAATAAATAAACTTTCACAGTGCATTTTTTGTTGCGTGTTGCTCTAAGTGGCAGCTCCTACCAGGCTTCCAAAAAGTACAGCCTCCTCGCGACAGTTGGTTTATACCTGAATTCGACAGTGAGCATGCATAAGGGCCTATACGCGATGATCGATTCTCTTCGTCGATGTTCTCTTTGGTTCATAACTCGCTAGATTTAACGTTTATCGGTGCGTTTACTGTTGCTTTTGATAGCCAATACAACTTGTTACTACTTTGCATTGAACAAATTCTAGAAAAGTGTTTCGCTTAGCTGTAGTAATGCAAAGAGAAAATCGATGAAGAGAATCGATCATCGCGTATTCGCCCTTATGCATGCTCACTGTCGAATTGACTGTTGCTTTGTGTGCTTTACTACCGCTTGCTACCGTACGTTCAGATCTGAATTCGAAGTGTATTGGTAACAGCGCACACACGAACGAATGAAAGCTGTATTAGAACAGTCGCATCTATACCCGCTTTGCTAAAATCATCGTGCTTGGAACGTAGTGAACCGAATGGGCTGTATTTATGCATTTCTTTATGACCAGGTTCTCAATGTTTCTGTCGTCATAACAGCCTTCACAAACCGACGACATCCCTCAGCTTACCCAAGTGGCTATCACGAAAAGGCTGTCACGAGACATTATATACAATTGATATACGGCAGTGGAGTATGGAAGATACCCAGAAGAATGATCCCAAACAGATATGTCGGCCCGATGTCGGATCAATGTAAGGTCAATTTATGGTCGACGTCGGCCAAATTTCGGGTCGATGTCGGGTCAATTCTGTGTTTATGTCGGGCCAACATCGGGTTGGGGTTTGGTAGAAGTCAGGTTGGTGTCGGGTAGGCTTATATTTTTCGCCGGAGACCGTGCGTTTAAAAAAAAAATATCGGATGAAAATTTTGCAATGGGCAGCACGAACGTGATAGCAACCGAACGAGCTCCGGCGCCACACTGGTAGTGTAGTAGCAGTCTTACGACACACAAACAAAATTTCAAAGACAGCAGCAACGAATCGGCAGTTTGACGAACTGCTTGTTGTATGTACGAGGAAAGTTACGAATGACCATCCGAGGCTGTCATAGCCGAACGAACAAAATACATGACTAAGAACAAGCTGTCGTGAACAGCACAAGACGGCAACGTTGCATGTCGTATAACAGCCTCACTGTGGGCTGTCGCTTATAGCTCAATCTCAAGGCTGTCGTAGGGAAAAGAAAGCGACAGCCGTTGGAGTTGGAATACTGTCATGAGGCGGTACTTTTGGTATGCCTGGCTCCTACCAATACATGCATGCATGCATGAAAGGGTTTGTCTTGTTTTGTTGTTCAACTCCGTTTGCTCAAATCCACACTCCTGCCTGACTCGAGAAAATTATTCCGGAAGCTCTTGTACCGAGAACGCGGAAAAAAAGTAGAAGGGTCTGTGCCTAGGGGCACGAACGGAAGCTTGACGTAGAACCGCTAGTGGCCGGAACCGAGGGGGAAGACGGCTTTCATTTGAGTACCTCTTTTACTCAGAGTTGCTCAGAGTTACTCTGGTTTGCTCTGGGATCTGATCTAATTTGTGACGAAAGCAAAATTAGTAGGGCATATAGTTTTGTCATCTGACCATGCAAATGTCAGTTCGATAAAGAAACGAAAACAATGAATGAAGAAAATAAATGGATGCAATATTTAAATAAGGAAATAATCTCGTTTTCTACCAGTTCATTGAAGTTTTGGCTATTTTCTTAAATCACTCTGATGATGCCTTTCTGCAGGGCACTTTTCTATTTGCAATGATAATGAAATCGACCAGGATCTTGCTACCGTAGTACTAGGCATCCAGATGCTTAGAGCAAGCGAATTGATATTCCCTTCCGGCTACCAGCTCCGGTGGGGACATCCCAACAAACATTGGATGCCAAACAAGAGCTTATTCAAGAAGAAATATACTTCTTCAGCTAAAAATTTGCTTATTCAGCCTTTAATTAGCTCAAATTGTTTGTTGGGATGTACTTGATGATGAGTTCTGTAAGGGTCTCGGTTGCCAGAACAAAAAATAAAAACGTACAAACTATTCCACCAAACCCCCACATACGCCCCCCCCCCCCCCCCTAGCCCCATTTATTTTGTATCAAAATAGCAACGTTATTGCATGATGTTTGTTTTGCTAATAGGTTCTCCGATGAATTGAGTGTATTTTACGGCATAGATCACCGGCTGAAAAAACTAATGTTCCTTGGACTGCGCTGTCAAAACAATCGAAATAATAAAATCGTTCATCAGAGAGCAAAAGAGTTCCTCAGAGTTACTCTGGATTGCTCTTAATTTCTCACTGTCTTCCCCCTCGGCCGGAACAAATGTGAACATTTAGTTCTTTTAATTGATTAATCATCAATTATCTTAACTCTTTCCGTTTTTTATTTGTAAGCGTGTCAAATTTGTAGTATTCATTTCACAGAGAAAGTTGATGAAGAGAATACAAGGGATTGTCAACTTGAGTATTTACGATTCATCTACCCGACTTTAAAGGGTGTATTTTGATTTTTTTTGTTATTTATGAATTTTTAAGTTTTGTGCATTTTGGCATTAAAGTGTATTCAATTCACCCCTCACAGGATTTCCTTCCGAATTATATGAATGGGGCGGGGCGGAAAGTATCGTTTGTGCAGAATATGTAAAAAAGGAGGGACTTCGAGAGATTAAACTCGTGAGAGCTAATTTTCTCACAAATTTGATTTTATTGGCTTTCTGGGGACTACACACCCAAAGCGAATTATTCTAGGATTGGGCGATCTTCAAAGAAAGATCGATCTTGACGGATCGATCTTATATTTGGCTCTAGAATCGATCCACTGATTAAATCGGTACCAAATAATCGATCTTTGGTAGGTCGATCTTTTGATTTCGTACCCTAAGAAGTTCTTTCCTTTATAATATTCAATTAAATGTTGTCGTGACGGTAAGGAGCAATGAACACAGGAGGGAGTGCTGTGTTGCTGTATTCGTAAATATCGGAAACGCAAATAGT